CTTTTCCCGCCCGTCAAAGCTCCAAGGCTATTTTCTGTCACGATTTCAATTTTTACAGAATGTTTTTCGTTTTCCTTTTCACTGCTGGATTGTATAAGCATGGCTTAAGGAACAGGATCTCGCTTTGCTGGTATAGAACGAGCAGGTCCAGAGAACTCGTACTGTGAAACTGCCATGGGGGTCAGTGGTGTTCTCCATGATTTTTTTGCTTCCTTCACCCTTCACTTAGCGACTATAAGTTTGCAAATGAACGCCACTGCAGACAATATGCAATCACCCAATGGATCTTTAGGTTTTTTCATCGGTCGCAAAACCTTCTCCCTCAGGGCTCAGGCAGACGTGCAACCCCCATTCTAGGATCCCAATAACTTATTTTTCTGGCACAGAGGAGGCTTTGATTCTCCTCAGGGTCATAAGGGCCGGGAGGTTCACAGAAAATAGTTCCTACAAGCGATCATTCAGTCGAAGAGGCTCAAAAGTAGACAATTTAGAAAAGAAGAGATTGACTTGTCAGTTCAAATACTATTTGAAAAAAGAGAAGAGAGGAAAAAAGAAAAGAAAGGAAGCACCGCTATGGCGGTCGGATCGAATCGGAAGAGACGGCCACCTAGCACGGGCGGTCTTATCGACCTTCTTCGCTGGCGATCTACGCAAACCGCCCTCAAGGGTTTCTTTTGAGGTTCGAATTCGACCTCGACCTCCCAAAACGCATTTGAAACATTTACCTAATTAGCTTCCTTGAGTGAAGATGTTTTCGAAGGTCCCCCCCCCCTCCAATGACGCAGATTGTTGCGACAAGTTGTGCTGTTTCTCAGGTCAAATCCTAGATCGAATTTCAGCCAGGTAGAGTGAGCCTTCCGTTTTATTGGTGTTATTGATTGTGAACTCGAACAAATAACGATCTCCCCAGGACAGAATGAGTGATTGAGTTCATTGCTCTTTTCAATTTCAGGTTCACAGGATCACCGTCATTACATTCCATCATTAAAACTGCTGAATAACTAATCCGAAAGCGAAGGTCAAAATTTCAAGAAATGGAAGGAAGGAAGTAATTTATAGACTGACGACTTTTTCAAGTTCCGTGAAATAATCGGCACAGGATGAAGGCTGCTAGGGTGTCTATCGTTTAACCCTATCACTTTGCAAGGAGGAGGGGGGGGGGTGGGTGGACGGAGAAAGACACTTTTCCTCCTCGACTTTCAAAGCAGTATAGGCCACACTTTATCAAATTCTGATTGGACATTTCAAATCCAACAACACATTGCACGCGATCGCGAAGTTCCGTCACCGCCTCCTAGACGAGCGCCACCGAGAGATTCTGCCACGTGACCCTGTTTCGGTGCCTGAGTTCAGCGAGATCGTTGATTTCTCCGCCATTGTGGACCACCCTGTTGAGCTCCTCCCGGACCCGGTAGTCGAGGGTTTAGGTCAGGTGACACGCATGGATATTCCGTCTTCTTCAGGTTCTCAACGCCATTCGACTCCGTGTGCTGGCATCGAGTCCTGTAGCAGGATGAAGTCCAAGACGGTACAGGCGACGACGTGAAGGCAGGATATTCTCCTCGAGTTGGTCGATGTAACTGTCAGCGTTCACTTTCAGTTCGGGGTCCACGAAAACAATATCGGCCTTCCCATTATACGAGCTTCCAGGTTCATACCATTAACCCGTGCCTTGGCGACTGCGGCGACGAAGATATCGTAGACCGTAACGACGTTGTACGAGCTGCTAGGTCTACAAACTGATCGTTCTCGGTCCTGGTTTATAGAGTAAGGTCCTGCGATAGGATGCCGGTTGTTCTCTGACCGTTTACGTTACAGCTTGAGACTTCTGTGATACTCGGATCTTGTCCAACTCACAGACGGTGCAGCATGCAGCTCTAAACACAAAGTTTACTAAAGTTTTCTCTGCATCAAAGTGACGATTATTGACAACTGGCCGATTGACGATTACTGCATCGAGACTGAAAGTATATATGGTTTGTACTACCTATTAATTCTCCACACAAGTCAATTCCTGAAGATTGAAACACAGTTTGTAGTGCCCACTAGAAGAGTCGCCTCAAACTTCCCTTGCGACGACAATTAACACATTGGCGACAAGGCGCCTTTTCGCGTGTCTGTCTGCCGCGTGGGGCAATGCAGGTTTTACCTGCTTTCGAAGAATGTCGCACTGATGCTAGGCGATTTACACTCCACAAAAAAAAGAGGAATGGTCAGGATTCATTGCAGAAGCTAGTAAGGCTTCGCTATTCTCGTTTACTTCCGAGATAAACCCTGAAATTTCATGGAATACTCCCGCCTCATTCACGTGGGGCATGGGTAAAAGGTCGCAAAAAAGGAATATTTTTGCACCAGAGGTGGTAACTTGATTTCGATTCAGATCTGCTATTGTTGACAGTAACCTTATCACATTAGCTATCTGCATGTGGAGCTTCAGTTCTATATATCCAAGAATTATCTTTTTTTCCTAGGAAATCACTTTCGTTTGTCTCCTCGGTAAAATACTCTCAATGACACAACTGCACGGTTTACAGCTACTGTATATTCTACAATGCCTTCATGGACAATATGCAGCTGTTGAAAATTCGAAACGTCTTCAAATTGGTTTTTTACCCATGCCGCATCCCAGCAGTGGGACGCAATGTCGCCAACGTGTTAAGAAAACTTTTTTGAAAATTTGAAATATGGATAAAAAGAAGGGCCCTAAATGAAAGCAAACGCCGAACAGGAGAATCGGAGAATCAGTATCGTAGATAGGATAATGTAGTGACAAAGACAGAACCACGACTGGAAGAAGAGACCTTTCTTAGCATCAGTCGTAACCGTCTGGAACACCACTAACTTGAAGAAAGAACTTCAAGATCAGGCTTCTGTCAAGGTGGCCAAGCCACTGCAGAGGGGGTCACTAAATTCGCTTGACAGAGGTGCTACGCACAAATCTGCGAGGGTAAAAAGCAACTTGTTATGGCTTCTCTGTTGTTGTTTTCAACAAGGCTATGGAATTCCGTGCTGTACAATATTCAAATCGCTACTCAGTCTGAGTTCCAAAATAGGCGGACCTCCAAACTTTTCTGGATCTCGACAACCATTTTTACACAGCGCTTTAACTCAGGGTCTGGCTTTTGTGCATTTGGGCACTACAAAACCCTAGTCACTCTTTCACGATATTTTGGACGGTTCCGCGACTCTTTACTATCAGCTTAAAACGCGCACATGCCTGAACAATGTCTCATACTGTCGGCAGTGATTTACCTACTGCCCCCAATCATCCAGGTTGAGCCTATTTTTGAACGACTTTCTCTCTCCTTGGACAGACTTGGCCCAAAGGTTGTATCCTGAGGTTATTTGATATCCCGGAATACGAATATCAAATTCGCTTGACCCGAAACCTCCTGACGCCCGCGCCACAGGCGCCGATGAGTTGATGTATTTTGGCGCCGGCGCCTGTGGTGCGGGCCTCAGGAGGTTTCGTGCCGAGCGGATATTATATTCATCTCCAGGAAGTCAAGTTACCCAGGAGACAAATTTTTAGCCAATTCTGCCCGCTTAGAAAAAAAGTCGGTCAAAAACTGGCTAGATGTAGGATGATTGGGGCAGTGAAGGGTAAGCTGTGAACACTACCTGCAGTGTTGCAGTTAAGGACGACGTTCAGGTCAGTTTGAAATTAAATTTCAGTTGACTATATGGAGATTTTGTTGAACCTGCGTAGGTTGCACAATCGAGAGGATTAATCATCACATAATAGCGAAAAGCCAAAAAGGCAAACATTATCTTTGGAGAATACATTGAAATGCCATAGATGATCACATAAACATAACAAGCTTAGCTTTCTAACAAAACCTGCATTATTAACCAACTGGCTGGACAATATAAACCACGAGGACATAAAAGCCGGTAGGAACGAGGCAAAAACTTAACGAAATAATTAAAAGCATCCAAAGCAATCTTTATTAACCTGAACACGCGTTTCATAAAAGACACTGAGATTTACTGGGTTCTGTGCTCCTTACAAAAGAGAATGTAACACGTAATGGTAAGTTACAGCTGTAGAATAACGGGTGCATGTCATAGGCACGACTCTTACAGAACATTTGGCGTTCAATGTCTAAGTAATGATTAGTAACATTTGTTCAATGTATAGATTATCACTTGTTTGTAGTCGATACTGCAGGAATGTCTTATATACATTACAGACAATCTCCCATGGCGGAAACATCAATGAGAGACAAAAAGCAACATTACGCGTTCGAAGCTCTCGTAGCGATTTCCAGTTCGTCTTTGCGAAAATTCATCTGCCGCTACCTGCAAGTACTTTATTATATTCAGTTAGACACGAGTCCAACACTCAGCATCTAAAGTAGGCGTTTAAGAGATACGAGACTCATAAAAAAGTGAATTGCGTTTCGACCAGGAAAATTAGAAAAGAATTCTCAAATTGGAAAATATAGGAACCAATGAAAAAGACTGCATTTGCCTTTGTTTGATTTACGGTTTCGGGAGACGAGAATCGGATAGTCGAATCGGCCGACTTAGACGAACGATCCTCCTGCCTTCTGTATCTTTTGCCGTTTCATATTTAAATTTCCATATTTTAATTCCATTCACATTAAATCCCCCATACCCCCACCCCTAGTAGGCAGCTCTCCAATTTTTTCATATGCTACCTATCGTGCAGATTCTTTAGAACGCGTTGATGTGTTTGGAAGTTGTAGCCGTAGAGCAGTATTTTCGTGCTGTTCGGTGCTTCCAGTTGTTCAGCGTAGGTACGCACAACTTATTAGGTTATCAGATCAAAGCCGGGTGTATTTTCCAAGCTACGTTCACAGCAGGTGTGCCTCCCCGATCCGTCCACCTATTCATTCTCTACCTTTCCCATATTATCTGCTCTCCGGGCCGTTTTGGAACCGAATTACGAGTTTTTGAAAATTTTGTAGCCCACCTATGGCAGCCCCGCCCACAATGAATGTGCCTCCCTCATTTCGTCCGCCAACTGATTGCCTATTGTTTGCCACTTTTTCTCCGAGCTCTTTAGGAAACACTAGGAATTTTTGAAGGATTCGTGCCAAGCACCACCCGCTTGCAGCAAGCCCAGCCCATAATGGGTGTCATTTCGTCCGCCAGTTGATTTCCTATCGTTACCCACAATTTCCGCTCTCCGGGATCTTCTAGAACCGAACTACGAATTTTTGAAATATGTAGCTCACAACTGTGCGCACGCCCCGCCCACAGTGGGCGGGGCTTAGCTTAGTTCATGTGTGTTCCGTACATCTTGGCCCATGCCCTACCCAACCCACCCTTGACCCGCCCCCTCATAACTGGCTCTTCAGGTGATTCCGAATTTCCGGACACACGGACAGATTGCCGTTTATATATAGTAGATCGGTCTCGTATATCGAAGGATGCAAAATTTGTCTTGGGGGCGACTAGCTTTCCGTGCAGACTCTCCTGTTTCTTTAAGTATTCTCCTGTCTTTCGTTTGGACTATTGCCATCTCGAGGCTACGCCCGTTGTAGCCTTCAGATATGAACTGTGGTTGAGGGTATGGAGGTTTGAACGGAGGCGCTAAACCGAGAGGTCATGCGTTTTGACAGGAGATTGCTAGTTCACATTTGCGCAACAACAGCTCACCATCCTTTCTACATAGCGAGGGTGAGGAATGGTGAATGAAGCTTTGAGGTGAGTGAGCTACTTCGCTCAGTCAAGCGATAAGTGGTTCACTCACACCTCCGCCTTGAAAACTGTAGGCTAGTACAGCACCAACATAAAATCGCTGGCTGTGCCTTTATCGCCTACTCGAGGCACATTGTGCCAGTCGGAGTACAGCAGGAGGTTCAAAGATGAACGCAAATGGAAGACTTACTTTTACCATATTGTCTCGAATCCTTTCAGGAGTTACCGACCTCGGGATGATTCCAATTCCAGAACATACGGCAAAGGCATATAGAATTGTCTGAATATAAAGGTTACAAACATTTTCACATGCATGGTCTGACAAAGCTAGAGAAAATATATTAATAGGAAAAAGAATAGAAATCAGTACCTGTGGCGAGAGGTCGAACTTCTCAGCCAGTTTCTTAATGATGAGTTCATTCAGGATCTCTTTGTTTCCTCGCAAGAGTGAAGAAAACGCCTGAATGAATGGAGTGTGGTGTTCGTGTAGCATAGGTTCAAGTTCTAGGATGTAACTTGTCATCACACAGATGATGTTTCATTGATACTGACGAGGAGACAATGCAGGTTTTCTCGTCAATAACTTGTTACAGGACACGTCTTCTCATTGGCAGTTAGATGACAGATCGGTGATGACTCAACTTGTGCGGTAGCAAACGTTCTACACTTGAGCCAGTAATACTGACAATCGATCAGCCGCTCTAATTTTCTCGGAGCCCATTCGCCATGCAAAACGCACGCGGCGTACCAGACGCTAGATTGAGGCATGAACCGAAAAACTAGCAGAGAAAAGTGAATAATTTGTCTGGCTTACCTGGACAAATATCCCATTTTGTGTGCAGTAGTTGATAAGAGTCGGACGAGTTAAATACGGGTGAAACTCAACCTGATTTACGGCCGGCTTGTGCTGAAAAGAAGATGAGCATCCAGAAGACCTGAACAGAAAGCCCTATCAACAACCTTCGCATATTCATGTAATTCTGCGAGGTGGTATACTTCATAGTTTGATACTCCTATTGAATTTATGAGACCGCGATCTAAAATAAGAGAATGCTGGAAAGTTATAAACCCACAACTGCTTGAAGTGATCGGCCTCCGAAGGCTGATGTAGCTTAAAAGATAAGCAGAGACGATTCCGTGAACGAGACAATTCGGTAACAAAGAGGTATATGGATGAGAGCAGCAAGGAAATTAGCTATCGACAAATAGTTTTCGTTTAAGGGACGAAAGGACTTAGCATGAAACCCGGATATTACTCTTTTATTTGTTTGTTTTCTTGTTCGTTTTGTTTGAATAAAACATTCCACCTTTTCAAATGAGATGACTCAATATTGCAAATGCGCTCTATACCCGAAAGCCTTACTCGAGACAAGCGGCATAAACGAACCTTTGAGCTGTTCTAGAACCTGCCATACTTCTTTTCTGCTTTTCTTGTTGACCTCATACTCCTCATCAGTACCAGTCAACCGATCTCTAGGATAGTGAATCAAGACAAGATCGAGGTATCTGGAAAAGCAATCACTGAATAGGTCTCACTGGTCAGAAAGTTCGTTTATCGCGTGAGCTGGTGCGTTCAACATAGACGAAAGAAATAGGAAGATGACATGACACACAGCTGATATCGTCGCTTATCGGGGCGGCGTGAGAAGGAATGAAATGAATGCTCCTACCCGCGGAGTTTTCTTCCACTGATTGTTTTTTAATCGATCGCTAACTGATCCTATTGGCAGAGAACGCAGCCGGAGGCGGGCTCGCCCCATGCCTCCTGACACCACCCGGACACACTGCGACGATACCAACCTATAGCTCAGGTACAGCTATAGCCATGTCTCTAGCGATCTACTAGACACCCAGTGATACATAGCTAAACGATATCCTCCCCCCCCCCCCCCCCCCGACTCTAGGAGGATGACTCAGCTCGTGCTTCAATACATGGTAAGACATACTTCGTCCTAAGTCTTTGCAGCGATCCCATAACACTTTCTTCAGTCCACTCGGCAGCATTTTCATTTTTTATTTGAACTTTTGTAGTTATAAAAATGTCTTCTCGTTGCAGTCCACATTTTGGTAAATTCTCCTTAAAAAGCTTAGAATGCTACCGCGAAATAATAATCGGTAAATAAGTAATAGTTAAATAAATAAACAATAAATAAATAAACAGTTCATGACTATGATTAGTCACGATCAAATACAACCTGCTGTAAGAACAAAGCGTTCTGATTTAAACTGTGACGCTCCGTCACGATTATCCCAACCAACCAAGAATTCAACAACTTTTCAAAGGTTTTACAAGATAAACAGGGGTCACCTCCAAAGCGGCTCCTAGTTCACCTTCCGTTCCATATAACTCAGCTGTATCAAAAAGCCTATACCCAGCTTCAAGCGCTGTTCGAACTGAGCTGCTAAATTTCTGCTGAAATGAACTGGCTTATATATATAATTGACAAGTCACACTTGAAGGGCATTCCGCCAGTGCAAGTTGGTACATTGGCCTGCACGTTGGATAAGACCGAACCTTGGTTCTGCAGCTGCGCGAGCAAGCGAGCTGAAGTAGCACTGAAGGCGCGTGCGATAGACCAGAAAACGAGTTGATGAGAAAGTACAGGTCGAGAAAGCCGCGAAATAAGCGCAAGGGTCAAGAGATAGGTGGCCGTTAACATCAGCGGGCGGGAACCTACATGCGTCACTAATCTCCAACGTTTACGAGCAATTTTCTCCGTCCCTGTAAAGTTAAAGCGGTCTCATTCAAACCATTTTCGACGGCTTCTGCAGTTCTTTCTCATAGAGATAAATGGAGTGGCTATCACAAAAGCATGATGGGACCCTTTTGCACAGACACACTGTCACGGAATGTGGTTTAAGGCTACAAAACGGGAAGCAAATAAAAAAAAACATATTACCTTCAAGCTACCTAAACCAATCAGTGGCATTTCATTCCCGTCATTTAATGTCACCCGTCCACAAGGAATCTGAGAACTCGTCGACATTCTTTTGATGAACAATTACTGATCCCTGGAAAACAGCCTGAATGATGATTCAACAACCACCTGATACTCACTAGCCTTAGGTTGTCCCGAATATAATAAATCTGATTTCATGAGCCACAACAGTAGATAATAAGCAACTTCTTCGCTAGACCTGTTGTCAAACAGGCCTCCCGAAGAAGTTTATCGCCACAAAAGCCATTAGTTTCCAAAAAAAAGTAAAAAGAAGGAATTGAAAGAAGAGGATACACACCCACCGGTCAAGGTTACTATGAAACTTGAAATGGAAGCGAGTCAAGAGATAAGATACGTCTAAAAACTTATTCCTTCACCGAAATGAGAGGATTACCGTTAGTTTTGATTTCAGAGAAAATGCTGATGATGCACCGACCATTCATACTGGTGCCACTGATAAGCTGTCTGCTGTTCTGCTGCCGTTTACGCCACAGCTTAATACCGTGATACCTGCACAGATCTTGTACAACTCACATCGATGATATCAGTTTACGTGAGATGAGCTTCAGCACAAAGACATCACTAACGTTTTCTTTGCAGCGATGTGTTAATTACTGACAACTGACTATAGCCGGTTAATCATTACTGCATCATCTGAAAGTACATGGTTTGTATTACCTACACGATACTCCACATAAGTCAATTCCTGAAAATCGAACCGCACTTCACAGTGCCCACTACGGAAGGCGCCTCAACCCCTCCTTGTGACATCATGAAAAGGACCAGTTGTTGAAAGCTTGATAAAAAGAAAAGCTCCAATTACGATTGAAACAAAGCCGGATTGGAGGATCCGAGAATCTATATTGGGACACTTGTTGACATCGAGAGAACCAGGGATGAACGCGTCTTTCCTTAACACCAGTCAGTACCGTTTGGGACACTCTACCTTGAAGGGGGAGCTTCAAACTCAGCTTCTGTCAAGATAGCCAAGCACTGCAGAAGAGGTCGCTTGACAGAGTTGCTACGCACAGAAGTCACTAGGCACAGAACTTTTCAGCTGTTTAGTTTCTCTGTACAAACTTCTGGAACCCTGTGTTATACAATGTCCAGACTGCTACAGTAACTGACCCTTCGGAATCAGCGCACCATAGAGCTTTGCTGCATCTTGGCAGCCTTTTTTACATCACCGTATACCCGGAGTCTGGCTTTTGTTCATTCAGCAACTAAAAAGCCCTAGTCACCCTCCTTGGAGAATACTATAGACATGTAGCTCGAACCTAGGTGCCAGACGGGAAATTCATGTAGAAACGGGCAGCAGTAACTCACATTTACTGGTTGGCTGAACAGTAGTGCTTCCACACCAAATCAACCAGGTGCACATACAAGAGCCGAGCACGATGCGTCCTGCAATGTCGTAGTTCTCTAGACGGGCAGCCACTTGGTATTGGTGGCACTGACCAAAAGGTCCTAGTCCAGCTAACTGAGGAAAACTTAAACAGATCCCACTTTTTCGAGCTAGATATGTACCTTACTGTTAGATTTATGACAATCTTACTTGACAACGTGCCCCCACTGCTGCCTACCAGTTGGTATCACAAAGGAGTGTGTGGTGCTAATTCCTAGTCAAGCGATAGCGCGCATCTGCAGATTATTCCCCGGCCTTGTTCGCAGCCGACAGTGGGGCGTACATATGGTTCATACTGGTGTTTTCCACCTGTGAAGAAACCTGTGACACGAACCTTATGATGCAGTATTGTGGTCGCTTAAGTCCAACAAGTGGTGGAGTACGGCCGTCTGGCGGTGCACCGGACCAAGCCTCACTGACACGCCCTACCATCTGCAGCGAACAAGGCTGTAGGCACTGGACCAGAAACACGCAGAGAGCTAATCTACTTGGAAAACGCAGACACCGAAAGAGTCGACGCGCCGCAACGGTGATATGTTGGGGAGATTGGGTCCTGGTGGGAATGCTGCATTTGACATCCCCTTCACCACTCTATTTCATGGCACTTGCCGCAACAGGAACGTAGCGCTCCACACCCATCGCGAAATGCATAGCCGGCCTCCCAAACTACAGTGACATCAATAACTTTCTTAGCGCAGAGGCCACTGAACACCCCTATAATGAAACAATTTTCTAAATCAAAGCGACAATAAAGGACTCCAAGCCGCATGATGCGACACGATCTCGACAACAACGAATCCATCTTTATTAAAATGTTTTTATAACTTAAATGCATTTCAAATACAATAAAACTTTACCAAATCTCGTACGCGTCATAAGTAGGAATCAGATGTACAATACAATGCTACGTTACAACTGGATTGACGGATGTATCTCAGAGAAATACAGAAGAGAAGTGTCGTTCAATGCCCTTCCAGTGAGGGTAGTGTCACCTGTTATTTGAAGAATTTCTTAATATTTCAAAGACATCTCCACGGGCAACATCTAGGACAAAAGGCTGCATTACGATCGAGCTCTCGTAGTGATTTCAATTCTTCCGGCGAGAGATGAGTTGCTGCTACCTGAACTTATTTATTATTAGCCACGTACGAGCTCTAGACATGATTCGGAGAAAAATCGAACACCTTAAGGACATCTGAACGACTATATGAGTGGTGGCATCCTTTCCGTCGTTACAGTAAGTACTAGGGTGTCCGGAAAGTTTTAAGAAATTTCAGCCAGCTCATTCAAAATGTATTAACATCAATAGGGGATAGGACTCGTAGTTATAATAAACACCAGTCGGATCGCCCAGCTGTCGCCAGGCGCTCCTCCTTGTGACATGGCCCGGCTTCGCCAGGCCATGCGGATTTGCTGCTAAGCTTACGGATCGTTGACCAACCACACTGTTCAAAGGAATCTTCTGCATCAGCCAAGAACTGAAAAGCAGCGCTCGTTCCGTCAAGACGCAGAAGCAGCAGCAGCGCCCCCCGCATCACAGAAGGAGGAGAGCCGGCCTTAGCCAGCGATGCTTAGTGGTACGTTCATAACTTACACGGCAATGGTGCAGCCTATTAGGATAGCCGCTGAAGCAGCCTATACT